CCAATTACTAAACCAATCAGTTTATAGTTAAGACAATCTGTGCTTCATTGAACTCCAAATTACTAATCAGAAAAAACAAATATTTACAGGTTAACTATCAAAAAAAAAAAAAAGGACAAAACTCAAAATGTCCACAAAAAAAAAAAAAAGATTTTTTCTTCTAAATGGTAATTCATTTTCTTACATTTGACTGTGAAATTACACTTTTTTTCTCTAATTAAATCATTAAAGAAAGTAGTTGTTTTAAAGAGATTTAAAAAGAGTATATATTTTTTTATTGTTTTTTTATTTTTTACATTTTTTCCCTTTTTTGTTAAACTACTTGTAATTTCTAGTAAAATCACAGAAATAAGTATAAATTTACATGTTGACTGTAAATAACAAAACAAAACAAAAAAGGAAAACAAGTCAAAGCTGTAAATGTTTACAACAAAAAAAATGCTTTACAATGTTTACCAAGAAATTACTTTACATTTAAAGCTGTAAAAACTTTGTCGTTTATTTATTTGAATGAATATATATATATATTAAGAGTTTCAAAATTGTAAATAATATTTTTTTTATAGATTTTTCCTGTTATGTTAAATTTTTGATAATTTCTAGTAAAATTACAGAAAAAAAAGTATTAACTTTAAGAACTGTAAATAATGTCCACAATTAGTTATTAGTTCTTTTATAGTGAGTGACTTAAAAGTACACAGTTTTGCTTTACTGAAATTACCCCCAGGAAAATTGTTTACCAATTTTACCAATACTTGCCTAATATTTTCCTATTTTTTACAATTACTGAACGCTATAACAATGTTACACTATTTCATGTTTTTTTTTTTTGTTTTTTTTTTTTAAACTTTTAAATTTCCCCGTCTGTGGGATTAATAAAGGCTTATCATATCAGATGGTTAAGTTAATAAGAGCTTGAAACTTAAGCTATAAATAAGTAAAAAGCACAAATCAGCATCTGTTACTGAGAAGCTNACAGACTTCTTGGATTTTCCCGAATCTGTTTACTGCATACAGGTTCTTTTGTTTTTAGCAAATATTTACAATAAACACGTAGAACAAAGTGATGTAGATTAAATATCATGATTTTAAGCTCAAACTTTGTTCATTTTTTATGTGAAAGTGCGCTTGACCAGTTCAATAAAAAGTTAAAAGAAACCTGATGTTTCTGTTTTTCCAGTTTCTGACTCTGATAAATGGTGTGATTTTGGTGATTTCTTTTGAAGACAACACGTCTTTCAAACCGACCAGCAGGATTTGGGAGTCGAGGGTGTAATTGTCTCTCTCTCTTCTCTGGTCGTTTCAGGTGTATTAACCTGACTGAGAAGCCAAATGGAGTCTCTCCTGGTGTATCTGATCGTCCTCGGCGTGGCTGTGAAGGCGCACAAGGTTCAAATCTGCCCCAAACGCTGCGTCTGCCAGGTGCTCAACCCCAACCTGGCCACGCTGTGCGACAAGAAGGGGCTGCTGTTCGTTCCCCCCAACATCGACAGGCACACGGTGGAGATGCGTCTCGGCGATAACTTCGTCACCAGCATCAAGCGCAAGGACTTCGCCAACATGACCAAGCTGGTGGACCTGACGCTGTCCAGGAACACCATCGGCTCCATCGCGCCGCACGCCTTCAAAGACCTGGAGAACCTGCGAGCGCTCCATCTGGACAGCAACCGTCTCACCCGCATCACCAACGACACCTTCAGCGGCATGTCCAAGCTGCACCACCTCATCCTCAACAACAACCAGCTCACCCACATCCACATCGGTGCCTTCAACGACCTGACGGCGCTGGAGGAGCTGGACCTGTCCTACAACAACCTGGAGAGCGCGCCATGGGTGGCCATCCAGAGGATGTCCAACCTGCACACGCTCAACCTGGACCACAACATGCTCAGCTACATCCCAGAGGGAACCTTCTCCGGGTTGCAGAAGCTGAAGAGGCTGGACGTGACCTCCAACAAGCTCCAGAAGCTCCCTCCCGACCCCATCTTCCAAAGAGCCGGAGTGCTGGCTACGTCGGGGATAATGGGGCCTTCGTCGTTCGCGCTGAGCTTCGGCGGAAACCCTCTGAGGTGCAACTGCGAGCTGCTGTGGCTGCGGCGGCTGCGGAGGGAGGACGACCTGGAGACCTGCGCTTCGCCGCAACACCTCGCCGGGCGATATTTCTGGACGGTTTCGGAGGAAGAGTTCCTGTGCGAGCCTCCTCTCATCACCAGACACTCTCAGGTATAACCTCTGAACACAGAAAGCCTCGCTGCTGAGCCAGGTATTGGATTGTGCCTTTGTTAATCCAAGGTGGTGCTTTTCTTTTTTTTACCCCCGCAAGCTTCGTGAGCCAGAGGAGACTTCGGGGGCACTCTGCTTTCAGATTATTGTAAAAAATATATATATATAAAAAGGCCCGACTTAAGGAATGTAATCAAACTGTGGCCGGTGGTGGAGCTTTTAGGGAAGTTATTAGGCAGGATTTTCAGTTTTTATAAAAGCTATTTGCAGCTTTATGACGGATTCCCGGTGAAGCTCTCGCTACACAATGATTTAGTCCTTGATTCATGCATCCAAACAAAATTATCTGATCAAATCCCTGCCAAACGACTACAGCTATATCATCTCATTTACATTCCGCGGGCCTGCTTTGCATAATTGCAGAGAAAATTAACTTTTACTCGGACTCCAGCGCATACGCAGCCATATTGACTCGGTAATAATGCTAATTCGGTATCGCGACAATGATCAATTGATTACATTTACGGGGGAGAAGGTGCAGAAGGCGTTCATTATGGGATATCTAAGCCAAACTTATAGCGGTTCGGTTGTCTGATCGCTGTTTGGGTGGATTTTAACGAGTCTTTCTGACCGCCGCAGGAGCTGCGAGCGTTGGAGGGCCAGAGCGTGACGCTGCGCTGCAAAGCCCGAGGAGACCCCGACCCCGTCATCCACTGGATCGCCCCCGACGGACGCCTCATGTCCAACTCGTCCAGAGCCGCCGTCCACACCGACGGGACGCTGGACATCCTCATCAGCACCGTCAAGGACTCCGGTTTGTTTGCATCCCGCCGGCTGTTGACCGAACAAAATGAGTTGTTTGCTTGTGTACACACCGGCCTATAAGACGTCGGTGTTTGTCTGTGGCAGGTGATAAAGTTTAGAGTGTTTGCTGATTAAAGTCACGATGAAATGAAAAGTGACTTTTTCTACCTTGATGGCATCAGTTTACAAAGAGTTTCCTAAATCTTTACATGGTTCTTGAAAAAGTCTGATAGTTGAACTTTGTCGGTGGTTTAACTCTCTGAACTCTGGGCTGGTTCTGGCTGGTTTTCTCTGCAATTTAAAGACCAGCACCTCTATAGAAACAACACAACCATGGCTAGACGTAGAGAAAACTAGAACATGTCATCTGTGCAGCTTGACACATTTATAACGACAGAAATCATAAAAAAGGGGGAAAAAAGTTGGATTTTTTGGGGATTACTTTACAAAAACTGCAAAAAATAAATTGGAATCACCATGTGTTTGCATGTGCTCACAGGTTTTAACAACAATGGGGGGTAAATAGTGGCTGCACATGCTATAAAAAATGTGCTATTTGCATTTTTACAACCTCTACAAACAGTTTTTCATGCTACTATGAACTCTAGGAAGATGTTTCACCATGCTGGGTGTATCTTAATACAACTTGCTCCTCTGTTTGCTGTTTCTGAGCCGGGCTGCGTTTACTTTATTGATCCTGAATGGTTTATTTTCCCCTCAGTCTCATGGCTTTGTGGAAACACAGCCTGCAGTTCAGTCAAAAACTACATTTTGGCCACAGCAAAGGCAATCACAGCTTACATTTATTTATTTATTTACTGAATGTGGTGCAAATGGTTTCATTTTGGTGACTTTTTAAATGAGACAACATTGACAGAGCAGTGGGATTTTGGTGAAATATCACGACTCTAACCTTAGATGTGGTTAATTTTCCAGACGAAACTTCTTGTCACACGTGATTAGTTCAAGGACCGTCGGATCGCAGGTTTAAAATGAGACTGTTCTCTCTGATTTTATAGTTTTTCTCTCTGAAAATTGGTGTTTTTGGTGATTTTTAGCAAAAAATAAAAGAAGACAACATGCATTTAAAACCTGCTGTTATGTAAACGTGAAGCTACAACCAGCAGCTGTTACTTCAGCGTGGATTTTAAAAATTCCCCCCTAAAAAAAAAAAAAAAAACATCAAATGTTCTTCATTTAACAGTTCTACAGCTGTGAGGCCCAATCTCTGAGCTCTGTGGATCAGTTGGGTGAATTCCATCCAAATAGCTTTAATGAAAAATCTGTTTAAAACTTTGATTATTCATCTTTTAAAACTGTATTCATAAAACGGATAATTGTCTCAGTTTCATTTTTAATTGAACACAAATGAAAGCGGCTCAGTGTTCTGGATATCCGTTTGTGTTTAGCGTTCCTGTGGCTGCACCGTCCCGTCATCGCAGCGAGCCGCAGACGGTCCAGCGACCACATTATGCATTATAGAGCCGATGCATGCAGCCTGCTACACTACATGCTGAGCATTTATACACCATTTATGTACCGGCATTCAGTCATTTATTAGCCTGCATTCTTACGTACGCACACCCTCTCTATGTTTAATGTGAGTGTTTAACATCAACAGCAGTAATGTTCTGACCTGTGGATCCAGTCTGGGAGTTCTGTTCACGTGTCCAAACCGTCAGAAAATAGTGTCGCTGACAAAATATTGCACATAAAAAAATGAGCTACATACACAATACAACCCATAAATTTATGTTCGGAATTTAACTATGAAGCAACAACGTGTACAGTTAAAATTAAATGAGAGGAAACGATACGTTTGTGCGGCAACTTCATAAAACTCATTTTTAATTAGATTCATGTTGATGGTTGACGAACATCAGCTCAACCTGACATTTATACTCATCTGAACTGTAAATTAGAGTAAACAACAGCCTCATAACCACGCTGGTGTTGAGTCTGTTCCAAAAGTCCTCAGCTGCAACTCTGCAAAATTGGACACGACAGAAATAAAACAGAACAAATGGTGCGTCCGTGTTAGTCGTGTTTTAAGGTGCAAAGATGAAAAATGGTGGTTCATACAGTGGGTGCTGGACTAGTTCCTACCCAATTACTAAACCAATCAGTTTATAGTTAAGACAATCTGTGCTTC